GTACCAAAAAAGATTGAGCTTTTTATTTAGCATATGGGAAATTACACCAGGAGCACCAGAGCCACTTCTGGGCTCCCCAGCACAAAAAAGAAGGTATTGACAAACTGGCCTAAGTGCCATATAACTGGAAGAAGGCCAGTAAGACCACTATGGGGCTGCAGCATCCAGCACTGCAGGAATGGCGAAGGTGCCAGGCTTGCTCAGCCAAAGGAAGCAGGCAGGATGAGTTAAAACAGCACATATCCATCGAGCCATCCAAAGGGGAATACAGCCATGAACAAAGTATGTGCTTCTCCAAGACACACAGCAAAAGGACAATAGTGACAATCAAAATAAGAAGAACAAGAAAGAAATCTCACAGAGACTGGGCTTTAGGGCAGGGCAGGCTGTCTCTGCTGAACTCCATCTTGGGAGGTTTCAAACTGGACTGGAAGAGGCCCAGAGCAACCTGACCCAACCTTCAAAGCAGCTCTGCTTCAAGCAGGACACTGGACCAGCTGACCTGGAGAGCCCTCACCATCTAAATTTCCCATGATTGTATTATACTACCAATGATAAATCACATTAAAGACATAGACATTTTATTAGTATGAGTATAATCCATACTAAGGACAGACAGACAACCATATTAAGAGTTGTGCAAGGTTAGAGTATGAATTTGTGAAGGATGTGAGTTGAAATTTTGGGCTGTCCTAAACTGGAGCAACCTAATTCTTAATTCTAAAAAAAAACTTTCCAAAAGCCTTTGCTTAGAATGTGAGATGCTGCGTTACACACAGACACAAAAACTGAAATACTAGTTTTAAAAAATCAATATAAATGATACATGAGCTCAATCCATACCATGTTTTTTCTCTTGAAGAGAAGCTTCAGTGAAATTGCCTGGACTTCTACCTTTAAAAACTGCTTCATCTATTAGTTTGAATTATATTCTTTGATGTCCTGCATTATATTTATTTGGGAAACCCCAGAAGCAGTGTTCTACACTGGAAAGAGTTTTTTATTTATTCAGTAATACAATTTGGACTAAGGAGATTAAGGACACTTAAATAGTGCATCTGTCTCCATAAACCACTGCTGATCAGGAACTTTTAAAAATCACCTCTTGAAAACAATTTCTTTTACTTTGATGCTCTTAGCAGAAAAAGGATTTTTTGCCTTATAAGTATGAATCTGCAGTACTGTCACATTGCTCTTTAGACAATTTTTATAAGGCTACTTGAAAATACAATTTAAATATGCAAATTTAATTCATCTGGTGTACTCTGTGCCTTCTTAAACAGGAACCTTATTGTGCATCTAATACAATCAGTGGAATCTTAATGATTCTGTGGTTAAGAAAATTGGGTCTGTTTTATACTGAAGTCTTTCAGTTAATTTCAATCCAAGCTGTTAAAGAATATTTAGGAAGACCATATGTGTAAAGATTTTAACAGGGTAGAATGGTATTTAGCTGGAAAATAAGTAAAAGGCTTGGTGTTAAAGACATTTCCAATAAAAGAAACAGTGTTTACTAAGACATACACCACAAAATGCAGGGTGCAAGCGTCATTTGTTCATTCCAAAGTTTAAATATTATATTATATTAAGTGTTCACAAAATAAACAGTCAAGTTTTTTAAAAAAATTAGTGGATCAGTGATGTCATAATTCAATATCCTTTTAATGACTGGGCTTTTGCATATATTTTCCAAGGCAAGCACTGCAAATAGTCCATTTCCTAGAGAAATGTGCCTTGCAATGTAAGGGCCTGCTTAAAAATGGTGTCCAAGTGGCCCCAGAATGAATGCAACCTTGAACTAACCCGCTGCAGTCAATAGCCAAGGCCTCCTTCACACCTGTGCTGGCAACAGAATGAGGCTGGGCTGTTTCCAGGGATCACCCACAATGTGAGCAGGCTATTTCAGGACTGTCAGGAAAAAGAGAGCAACTTTACTTACCTCTGAAAACTAACTTCAAACCTGATTATCAGCCCAAGTCAGATAAATGGCAAGCTTAATCAAGGACTAAGAAAAGTTGGCTGAAATTGCTATTTTGTGTGCTTTTGTACAGTTTTCATTCTGTGAAACAATACAACTGTTCAGACTCATCTACTCAGAAAATATGGTCTGAACAAAATAAATAATAACTGTTCTTTTTTTCTTATCTTATTCTCCAAGGTGCCTCTTTACTTCCAAGACATCTGTTTCATTTGTTCTTCCAGTTTGTTACTAGCTATTTTTACTTCTGGTTTCATAGCTGCCAGCACATTGTGCCAGCACAGCATATATACAATAAGGATGTATTTTCTTGGAGGGTGGGGGAATAAAATCCACAGCAATTAGCATTCCTTAAATTAATGGAAAAATTTATATTACTGTTACATTTTTAATTACAAGAACCAAAAAATCCTAGTATAATTTCTTACTGCACACAGAAAATTGCTTTGTATGTTTTGCCAAATAGATATTTTACTTTCTCTTATTAAGCACCAGGACCTTAGCCATCCAGTCTTGTTTCTGTTGAAGTTTGTTGGGTATTTTTCATGGTTCGATTCAAAACTATGAAAACACTCCCCAAATTGATTAACCATGGGGTTTTTTTAAAATATAGTCAATATACACAAAGAAAATTGATTTTTTCTTTTTTCCTTTCTCATAACTTATTTTTTTAATAGCAGCCAAGAATTGTAAGATTTTAGTCAGATTAGGCGTGAGTATTAAAGTTAATGGCAAAATACAGATTTTTTTTCTAGCTGCAATATCTATAAGAAAAACATTCACAAAAGTAATCTGTGATCTGAAATGCAAAATAAATCAGCCAAGTCTGATAAGACAATCAGACTGCATCCTGAATTACTCTATCTGAAACTGAATTACAGTATGGCCAGCCCATTTAGGTCGTTAATCCCAAAGATGCTGGTTTCTTAATAGTGCCACAAAACACTGTACACATACAAAAGAAAATATTAATTGAAACTCGCTTACAGAACTGTGCTAATATTAATAACTCTTCCTTTCACATCCTGATAATTTAATCTCACAGGATGGTACAAACCAATGAAGAACCCCAAATCCAGAGCTGATAGGGTTAATCTGAAATTGAAGGTGAGCATCCCTTGATAGTTCAATGGAGGGGACAGAAGAGAAGGAAATACCCCACTGATCAGATTCTATAATCCCACATGCTCTCTCAAAGGAAAAGAGAACCTATCTAGGAACCCTGCAGTATTTTTTACCTCATCCCAGATTTAAAGCCTGCTCTGTGCAATAACAACTACCTAAATTCCTGGAAGGATTCCTAGAAGAAATCTTTCAAAAAACTCCACAAACCACTGAATTTAAGGAAAAAACTGAAATTCATTATATGAAAGGAAGGGAGGCACTAGAAGGCAGCACAAGACTCTTGGAGGAAGATATAAACATTCCCTGAGAAAGCCCATGAGACCAGCAGCAGGCTTCCTCTGGTGCTGGGAAAAGGAAACAACATATATTCACCTTTTCAGATGTACTGAGTAACACAGGCCCAGCAAGGCTACAATTAAAATTTTGAATGACTTCACAGAATTTTTTTTTTTGTGCCAGACAGAAAACGGAGTGCCTCTCTTCATCACCTTTGCACAACAGCAGGTTGAAAACTTCTATTCTTGACAGTGAAGAGCTAAATATTTCCTTTGAAACCCTTCTTGGAGGAGGTTAAATTCATTTAGAAAATGTCCTCCAGAAAAATATATGATAGAATGTATCAACATTCTCTCTTCTTTAATACTTTTTATAATTGTCTGTATTTCATAGCCATGATTTTAGAATTTTACATGTCTAATAGAGAACAGAATATGAAAGAAAGTACATTTGCAGAAACTCCGCATTGTCAGTCTTTGCAGTGGTCTTAATTAAAGAACAAAATTAATACCCCTGAGACTCTATCAACATCCAATTAATTTAAAGCATAAATATTTACTGCATTAAAAGCTTTCATTGTCTCAGACAGAAAACCAGCAGCATTAAATAGATATTACAGTTTGTAGCTTGTCCTCATCATAATTTTTCCTGAGGAATACAAGAAATAAGAGGTCATTGCTGCACAAATTCAAACCCACAAGATAATTTCCTAAGGAAACTGATGTTTCATTCTATTAAAAGTCTGTACTACTTGACATAACATAAATATTATGCTTATTGTATTTTTTATTTTATTTGCATAGCTATCATACTGCTAGTTTGTGCAGATAAACCATTAGGTATATACATACATATAGAAAATATCATGTTATCAAACAGAAGTGTCACTTGATGAAGATCTCTCTAAATGTATTACTGTGTACAGCCCATCTTCGGTTCTTTACGTTTTACAAAGCTGAATAATTTGGGGCACCCACTGTCAGGAAATACCGCCTGGATTTTGATTTTATACAAACTGCATAGTCTGCCATCTGTGCTGAAGTCCTAGAGTTTATGAGGCATGAAAAAAGCCTGCTGTCCTAGGCCCTAACTTTTCTGCTGCTATAGAAAAAACACAGTAATTCTGAAAGGGCAACAGTGCTTCATATTGAATGACCTGAATAAAGATGCAAAAGAAGCAAAGAGACTGTCTTGTTTCAGCACAACTGGTTCCTCCAATTTGAATATAAAACCCTACGTAAATTTAATTTTGCCGTCTCACAAGGCATTCTTGCACTGTCCAGTGAACAATCCCTGACTTGTTCTGGTCACCAGGAGTATAGCTGTGCAACTAGGAAGGGGAAAGTCTATTTCTTTGATCTGTTGAGAAAATTCATTCTGGAAAGTCATGCTTGACTTGTATTCTATTTAGTGGGACATAAAACTTTGGACTCTCTTGGATAGGCTATGGAGCCAAGGCTCACCTTTGCTGTAAGGATGAGAAACAGTGGAAACAGTTGTAGCAATCAGCACTGATGGAAGATAGCACTGCCAAAGGCTGCTTTGACATTTACGTGCACATACAGCAATGTATCAATACCTGCTATAAACTGAAATAAGCAGCATTGCTTAGTGAACTCACCAGCCTGCGGATCTCCCTCTCACACTCCCGCTTTATTCTATTGATCTCATCCTGGTGGGACTGATAAGCCGTGCGCAGGTCCGCAGCCTTCATCTTATCTGCCTGCATAATGTTGTTCAGAGCTTCTTCAAGCTGCTTTTTGCCAGATTTCAGCTCCAAGATCTCTTGTTGCAGCTTCATTCGTTCCCCGTCGAACGCCTTGCGAGCCTCCTCCTTAGCCTCGCTCAGCAGCGCCGTCTTCACCTTGTCAGCCGCCCCGTCCCGCAGGACATTGACTGTTGACTGCAAACGCTGAATTTCACCATCTTTGATTTTCACCATTCTTGCCACCTCCTGCTCATGCTGCCGGATCAGTAGCTCTCTGACGCTCTGAAGTTCCTTCATTTTCTCCTCGTGGAGCTTGGCTTTCAGTTCAGAAACATAGGCAGTGTGCTTATGCTGCTCCTGCTCCCTTTCTTGCTTAACCTCTTGGATCTTTTCTCTCAGTTTACCCACCTGGAACAAAATATAAAATATTGACTGACAAGCACCACTCCATTTTTTAAAGTCACCAAGGAAACTGCCTTTCTTTTACGAAACTGTTCTTAAAAACCTATCTTGAATATTCAAAAGAAAAGACTGCACACTTCTCTCCAGTGAACAAATGGAGAAACAGGGCTGGAAAAAGACCATGTGCATGTTAAGGAATGTGCTACACGGATGTGTAACTGGTAATGAGTTCTCATAGATCTAGGGAATAAAATAAAACTGACCAACATACACTCTAGTTATCTCCTTATTTCCTGTACCAAACACACCAGGCTATTCTCACCCATAACCCCTCTACTGCACTCTACAAGCAAATGGAAAATTACTCAAACAGGGAAAAGACTTTATGCTGGAAATACTTTTATTTTGGATTTCTTAATTTTTTTAGCTATTTTAATGGGAAAATCCTTATATAAGCCAAAAGAATTGACCTTTTGAAAAATCAAGTCTACTCAATGGACCTCAGATCTCACCCCAAAACTGAGACTACTCATGTCCCCAGACATTCCAGAAACTATAGGCCAGTGAGTCTAAGGGTTGGGGAGGGAGCAGTGGAAAAATATTATAGACTATTATAGCAATATCCACTGTGATGAAACCTCATTATAAAATGATGCTCAGCAGGCTGCATGGAAAGCAATGCTTTTTTCCATGTGGGATTAGATGTTAATTTAGAATAAAGGGGGAAAAAAGAGAAAGGCTCACTTGTCTATTGCAGTATTCCAGAAAGGCTATAATGTATTTCATCATTCATAGTTTCAGTAACATCTTTCAACTATCCCCATACTGAGACTGCCAAAACTTCTATCAGAGGCAGAGGTTTCAAAAATTGTCTTTTAACAATCAATGACAATACAAACATACATAGCAAATAGAGCTTCATGTTAAAAGGAGGCTATCAACCAGCAAAATGTTAGTCACTGCCACATCTGCTTCTACCTGTGCAACACAAAGCTGTGATCTGTAGTTATGTGATGCATTTAATTTACACTAAATTAAGCCAGAATTGCAACTTGATCAGAGTCAGGATCAACCCACCACAACTTGACCTGAAGTCTTCAGACAGCTGGGACAACAGACTTTTCCTGTGCAGAAAATGTTATAATCCTCTTATTTTGAACTTTGAAAATTAACTAATCAAACTTACCCTTGATTCAAAGAAAGGAAGAGACTGGAGCAAGAAGGAAGGAAGGGTATCACACATTTTTATGAAAGTAACCTAGATGAGCTGCTGACTAAACACCACCTGGGAGAGCACTATAATTAGAGCTGTTCAAAAGGTAATAGCTCTGAATCAGACACTGTCACATGCAGATTTTATAGATATTGTCACTCTGTTCCAGGATGATTCTGAGACTGTATCTCTATCAAGAGAGACAGAGGCTAGGTTTCTTCCCCAAATGGTAAATCTAGCTATTGGAAATTATCTGCAGGATATATCCATGTATTATTTCTTTCAGTGGGATGACATTTAGTTCCAAGCCTACAGTGGACAGCAGTGATTTTCAGTGCTTGCACTAGGGTACCCAATTCCATAGGAGAGTCCAAGGCAGGGAGGCTGGAATAGAGTATCTTTAAAGGTCCCTTCCAATTCAAACCATTCCATGATGCTGTAACAAAACTAAGTCACTAACCCACCTATCTACCATCAGAAGCAAACAGACTGGTTTATAGATAAATTTGAAAATGAAACAACATTCACTGTTTACTTATTGCCTTACTGATGTGCTAAGAAAATTGAAATTAAATTGAGCAATGAAACCTACTAATGACAACACAGGGAAACAAACTGCATAATGGCACATACAAACACAGATAATATACCTCCAGAACCACATCAATTAGTCATATGGCACATAAAGCATACAACTGAAAGGTAGTTTTCAACACAACACGTTCATGAGTTTAACGATTATTTACTTATAGCCTTACTGATGAGCTTATTGCCTTACTGATGAGCTAAGAAAATTGAAATTAAATTGAGCAATGAAACCTACTAATGACAACACAGGGAAACAAACTGCATAATGGCACATACAAACACAGATAATATACCTCCAGAACCACATCAATTAGTCATATGGCACATAAAGCATACAACTGAAAGGTAGTTTTCAACACAACACGTTCATGAGTTTAACTTCCTAAAAGAAGTTTTAATAAATGAGAAATAGATTTTGACATTTTGGAGGAGTGCTGAGTCACCAAATTAGCATACTTGCTCAGTTTTTTTCATCTTTGATTGAATTAAGGGAAAGCAAGGCAAAACCTATATGCACTGTTGCTGTCTGTGAGAACATGTATTAATCACTCAGAGTAACTGAGTACAATCATATATCACTACTAATTTTACCTAAAAGCTTCAGTAAGAGGAATTTAAACAAGAAGAATTTGAATGCTTAAAAAAACCCTGGAAATGCTTCAAAATCCACAAAAAAATCCTTCAAAAACCACAGCATATTAAATGCTTATTACACCTCATGATCCAGAAAAAAAAGATGCATCCCAATTCCCGGTCTTGAAAACGTCTTTCCCTATTACTGCTTTTGTTCAGAGAAGATGGAAAGTTAGATCTGTCTGTCTGATCTTCTCTGAAAGCCATAATCTGTCCTTCCCGCACCCCTCAGTCCCTCTCTCCTGCACATTGTGCATTTCTCTACTTGTCTGGCTTCCAGAACAAGAATGAAGTGAAAATAGTAGTGTGGCATTTTCCCATATGCCTGAGTCTCACTTTTTTGGGTTTTTTTGGGTTTTTTTTTATATGAAGAAAACTATTCTATCTAAGAAATTAAGTGAACAGAAAAACAGTCAGGCATGCTATCAGGGCACCAATAAACCAGTTACTGTCTACCTTTCTAAATTAACAATGTAATAATTGGTGCACATTTGATACAATGTTGTTGTCACAGCAGAACTTAGCTTCTTCAAAAAATAATGCTAAGCATCATTGCTTCTCTCCTTTCCTATGTCTAAAATGTGCCTGAAAGCAGAATTTTCTTTAAAACAATACAATTGTATTTTTCTTAGATATTTGCATCTTGTGTTGTTTTCTATGGCAAGTTGTTTTGCACACTTGAGACAGAAAAATAATAGTTCAGCCTTATGATGAGACTAAATGGAATAATTTTAAAATGATGCATTTCTAAAAGGTAATAACCTATTAAATAATATGTGTTTCCAAGTGCTACCAAACCACTGCCCCAATAAAAACGTTATTATAAGTACTTACTCAGGACTACCTCATTTTTTTCTCTTGGATTTAACTGTGGGGGTTTTTAATTTGTGGCACAGTAGTCAATCACAGGAGGGATACTCTCCACACTGCTTTTTGCAAGAAACTTCAAATTTGAATGTCAGAGAAGAGAAGGTAATTAGGAATAGTCAGCATGGATTTACCAAGGGGAAATCACACTTGACCAGTCTGATAGTCTTCTACAATGGCATGGCTAGATGGGTCAATGAGGGGGGAGCAGAAGCACCAAGACACTAAAAAACAGTGAAATAATGCAATTTACTGAACTGTAAATTATAAAGGGTATTAGCCACTACTAAATTTCATGGTGTGTGGTTTTAAAAAGCTTAAGTAGTTTGTGCAACTTGTTTTAAAATTTGTCATCATTATATCAATCAGCAGCAAGAGAAGTTGGATGAGAAAGAAAATAGAAAAGACTCTGACTTATCTTTTAATTTACCAATACCCCTGACCCATAAGAGATTTTACTTTTTGCTTTACTCTGTGAAGAAGAAAAATTTCCAAGGGAACACAAATTTAGTTGGCTGGTATTTTCTGAACCTATTGCATCATTCAAACACAAATTAAGGCTTTATGATTTCTTTTTCCTCTGTAAAAAAATCAAATCTGAGGATTACATTTGTGATGGGTTTACTTTGTAAATTAAAATGCAAAAAATAGGACCTTTCAAAGCTGAGTCTCACACAAGGATGTTAATGAAACTAGAATGTACAGAAAAGTTGTTATTCAGGTGTTCCACATTTTACACTGATAAACAGAAAAAAGGCTAGAACAAAGATCCTTTATATGAAGAGAACCCATTATCAGTGCATACTTTTTCCACTTGTTAAATCTTTGAGACTCTTGCAACTACAGTATCCCCAGTCAAATACAGATAAATCCACCAGCACATGGATTATTCTCCAGAACTGCCCTGTGCAAAGTAAAATGCACTAACTGATTTCAGTAAATAACAGAATAGAAATAAGCTTACTGGCTTGTCCATATTTTAAATAACATACATAAATAACATATTTTAAATACATAAAAGTAACTGCTAATCTTCATAAATACAAATGTATTTTTGAATTAATATTTGATGAATCCTCTGTGTCCTCTTGATTACCTAAATACCAGTTGAACATATGCCAGATAGACAAATATTGATGGATCTGTTTCATCAGCAATCAGATGCATCATTGAATAGCTCAGAACAATGCCACACATAAACTCAGCAAATCAAATTAGGACTCCTACACAAACAGTTTCCAGTTAATTGATATTCTTCATAGGCATTTAAAGGGACATTCTTTGAATAAGGTGCTGATGTTTGATTTTGAAGACAATTCTTTTTACAACACACAATTTTCAGTAAGGTCAAATACAATACTTCCTTCTCAGTAAGCTAATGCCATTGTATTGCTGTGATTGCAAATTTCAGTGATTGGAGGTTTGGGGATATTTAGTACTTTTTGCACACTATTTAAAATAATTGTCACCAATTTTAGTTTATCAGTTGTTCTTCTGATTTCTTCTTCTTTCATGTTTTTTTTTACAACTAACACATTTTAGCATCAAACTCCGCTAGTTTCTAACGGTGCTACTGTTAAAAGAATGATCACAAAATAGAGACAAATACCTTGGTTTTCTCTTGCTGAAATTCTATCTGGATGTTGGTTAGTTTAGTTCGCAGCTCCTCATTAGCAGCTTGCAGGGCTTCAGTCTCCATGTCGGACTTCTCTCCCTTGGCACGACTTTTCTTTGACATAATTGTTTTTGAAGTTTAAAATAAAATGTTTGCTCCACACTGAGCTACCAGCTAGTGCTTTCTGCTTTTAGCATTTAAGAGTGGTGGAGTGGTCAACAAACCCCTTCATACAAGTCTCTGCCATCATGGGAGCAGTCTCTCATGGCCTGGAAGAAGCAAAGTGGTAGGAACAGAATTAGGCTACAGCACTGAGCAGAATCAAACATCAGATTAACATCCACTTTTAAAGCACACTGGACTTCCTTGAATTATACTATACTTCATAGTGTACCAGAGTTTGAAAGAAACAGATAAGAAGTTACATAATATAAACTCTATCCACTCTATTCTGTTATTCACAGAAATAAAAGTATTAACAGTTCTGATGAATATAGCATATAAACAGAAATTAGATCTTATTCAAGACCTGATTAGAACCATGCTCAGAATTCCCAAGATGCAGAGAGAAAGCCATAAATTAATTGAGGTAGTGTTTCAGTGGGAATAGTTTATTTTTTGTAGTATGAAGAAGTATTTCTCTCCCTAATGTATCAGTTATAATGCATAATTGTGTTATTCGTAATTATCATTGAGTTTCACATCATCAGCATCTATTAAAAAGGTATCACAAAACTGGAAAAACATTTAAAAATGTTTCTTAAAACACCCTATCTGTAACCTGCTTATGTTCAGGGCTGATACTGCTTGAAAAGCTACAATGGAAACAAGAAAGTATTTAACTTCATTTTCATTTCCCAGTATGCGCTAAGCTTGAAAAGTATTCAATTATTTAAATCAGCTTTATGTAATATTCAAGGAGAACATCAATAGCAGACAAAGAACCCTAATTCCGATAATTAGGAAATCCCATGATTAGTTTGCTTCATGACTAGTCAGTATGGAAGCTTAATCTGTAATTTTTTTTCCTCTCTGCCCTGCTGCTCTCCTCTAAGAATAGTCTGGTGCTCCACAAGACCAAACTGTGGAACAAGTGCTATCAGTGCTGAACTACTTTCCAAACCCATGTTATCTGCACATTTTTAAATATTCATATAGTTTCATCATTAAATTTTAGACAAACCAGAAAGGTTCCTCTTTAAAACTGAATGACATTACTGAAGTATTGTATTTCCACGAAAATTGTTATCAAATTGCCATCAAACAATAAGATGCTCTTTCCAACCTATTACTGATGGGGAGTCATTTTGAAATCGTATTAGAATGAAAATCCCATGCATTCCTTAGCACATACTTTCTAAAGGGTTAGTGACTAATACCTCAGGTGTGTAGAGACAAACTAAACACCTCAGTTTTATGCTCCTTTTCAAGCACTGGTAAGCAGGTGGTGAGTTAAATATCTGGCTTAGAATGACGAGCCAAATCAGATGAAAAGTGAACAGAACTCAGGACACCAAGTCTCAGTCTGTTTGACAATATTCCCATTGAGTTCTTTCATTTGTAAAAAGCAATTGAAAAAAAATGAAGTTTACCAATTATTTGCTGAAGTAACTTAAGAGAAATAGTTGCTTTTCTCTGTAGTATCAGATATTTTTCCTTTGAAATATAATAATCTATCAAGTCCTTCTATTCAACAACACTTTGTTCCTTATATTCATTATATGAAGCATTTTAATATATAATCTGTGAAAAAAACCAGGAACTTAAATACATTTTAATTTTATTATGCATCAGACCCACCTTACCGAACAAATAAACACTGGAGCTATTGTGATTTTACACATAGTAGTTGACCCAAGAAAAACAAATCAGCAATATTCTTACAGTAAATTTTAAAAAAGGAACTCTTTGGTGAGTAGAATAAATGTGAGGAATTACTGTTTTAATAAAGGCATTTCATGCTATTAATCTGTGGACTTTCTGTGATGCTCAAATTACATTTAATACTCAAATTAGCCTTAAAACTAGAGAGTTCAGCATTATTCTTTGAAGTACTCTTCAGAATTTAAAAAAAAAACTCTCAAGGCATTGCTCTCAATTTTTTTCCTTTAACTCTCAACATTTGAGAATTGTCCTTTTCAGGTAAAATAAAAGCTTGAACTTGAAGAAACTTACCCTCCTGTCTTATAGGAATTGAGGGAAGGAGAGTGGGGAGGGGACCAAAAGCAACACCTCCCAACCAAACTGAACATAATAAATACTCTAAAACCACAAAACAAAAGATATTGCCAAAAAGCCAAAAAACCAAACCAACAACAACAACAACAACAACAACAACAACAACAACAACAAACAAACAAACAAAAAAACCAAAGCAACCAAAAATCCCTCACAAACAAACAACAAAAAAAAAACCAAAAAACAAAAAAACACACCTAGAAACAACCACCCATGAAGCTGCATTGGTGGGCATAAAAAAATTTCCATTTTTACTCTTCCCTAGATACATTTTCCAGCGTACCTATTTCAAAAGCAGGAACTATGGCAACACAAAGACTATCTATATACCCAGAGAGGCACACAGCCCAGACACACAAGGGCTGAAGCAGAGACTGCATCCTGATTCCCAAACGAAAGGCACAGAACCAGCGAGTGCCCAGATTCCCTCCTAGTTGACTACCCACATTTGATATTTGGATAAAGGTCAGGACAAAAAAAAAAAACAAAACAAAAAAAAACCCATGAAAAACACCAAACAACTTGTAAAAATGAGAAAAAAAATGAAGGAGAAAACACTCCTCTCTAACGAACAAAATTTTACTGACGCAGATGCTTCAACCAACAACCAACAACCTATTTATTAACTCCCCATATGTCTGCTGAGAGACAAATTTATGATGTAACCAGGATACAATCCCACAATCACTCCATGACTAAAAATAGCCAATTCCTGCACTCTGAGTTCTACACACTTCTTGCAAACCTTGGAATCATTTGAATGTATTTTATATTTCACATCAAGAAAAAACATAGGAAAGAGTAATGGATTCTAAAGCACAAGTCACATTTTCAGCGTGTTTTCTCTGGAACATACCAAGTTTCTGACTTTACTTGATAGGTATAGGGGCAATTGTCATAGAAGAAAAACAACAAAATAAATAAACTTGATTGAACTACACAATAGTTTGGGGGTTTGGTCTGTAAAAGATAAAAACATCTAATATGATTTCTCTTACAGATGTTTTGGGAAATCCATTAAATTCTTAGCATACTAAAAAATCAATCAGCTGAACAATACCCTAACTTCCAATTTCTCTTCTATTTGCTTAGCAGATTTAAAGGATGTTTTTTATAACTACCTCAATCTCTTCTCTGATTTTATCAAACAAGACCTCAAACTATGTAATTAATTGCTATATGATGATTCTAGATGTTAAATATCAATACAATGTAATAGAAAAAAGAAAAATCAGGTACTGCAGAAATGTGAGTGTGTAGCATCAATAAATTTTGATTACATAAGGGTAAGGAAAAAAATGAACTTTTTTAATATCTAATCTGTGAAACAATACTTTCTATTGAAAAGTAAGTCAATTTAAAGAAATGTAAGTCTTTAAACATGATCCTGTATGAAGAACACAAAATTATGGGGAGGATTATATCTTTAGAGAGTGAGTCTTTCAGTAACAAACAGCAATCAACAGGAAAAGTAAGTAAACCCATAAAATCAAGTAATAAATATGGATAACATTATATCATGAAAAATTTACTAAATTATATCAACCAAAATTCTGCATTCCAGCCTTATTTCAAACTTTGACAACATTACTCAGCTGCAGCACAATTTTTGGAAGGTGAAATTGTCAGTGAGTCATCTCAGCCAAAGCACCAAGCCGTAACTCAGTTACTGGAGGGAAATAATAAAGCTTCATCTCAAGACTGCACCTCCACATAAATAGTGCACCATTCTACTTCAGCTTTTTTTATTTCAACACTTATCTTTTAATTCTGCACAGCCTACTGCAGCTACCCATAACCCTCACTGTGCTTGTGAACATGAGATGTAAGTACATTCGCAACACAGCACAATTCTGTACATTCATGAAGTTTAAAATAAATTTTATTACCATAGCATCTGACAATAGTAAATGCAGTGGACATGGGTACAATGTTAACTTCAGAAGTAACTTGCAGTTCACCTATGTTATAGTTTAAAAAAACAATGATAATCAACCAGTGACTGTATGGGAAAGACAAAATTCATTGCTGCCACTGCCCAAGGCACATTTCTCACAAGGTTCAGATGACCTACATTTACTGCTTCAATTCTCAGTTCTGTGTAATAAAACATGACTGAATGGATAAAAGCAGAAGAACCTCTACAGGATTGTACAATAATACTCATCTTGCCGACAAATCTGAACGTAAATTATCAATACAGCTTTCTAAGTACATTGTAGACTGGTCTCCTTTCTGATACCCCTTTGTAGCTACCTACAAGGACAAATATATTTCTGTAACAGTAGAACCTTTGAGGGTTACTGTAAATCATAGCCTGCTTAGGGAAATACAGTTTCCTTACAGTGGAACACTTTATAAATATCACTTGACTTTTTGATGGATAAAACCAGAAACATCTTTGTTGTTAACTAACAGCCCACATTCTTTCTTTCAGATTCACAGCCTAAAGTCCTGAGTCAATCTTGCTTTAATAACACACCTCCTAGGGCCACACTATACAGAAAGCAATCACCAAGAAACTATAAGCATTTTTTCATTGCTTTTTTGCCAGAAGACCTCAATGTAACAATCCTGCAGAGCCAGGTGGAACAGAGCTTTCCATGGTAGAGATTACATGTAGCATGAGTCAGGCTTTTGTGACACTTGCTCAGATTTCTACAGCAGGTGACATCCCACGGATGAGCACAGGATCTGTAAAGCACTCAGCTCTTCAGTCCAGGTTTGTAATTGCTTCCATATTTTTTTCAATGGCATCTCAGCAAAGGTGATCTGTGATTCTGTCACTCCACATCTTTCAGAAAATTCCCAATGCCCTCAGGAATCAGTACCCAGGTTTTAACTTCCCACCACAAATCACTGCCTTCCAGGTCTTTATACAGTTGATAGAACTAATTTGGTAATTTCCTAAATTAATTTCACCAATGTATTCATTTTTTCTTCAGTGAATTGGCTGCCTGTGTTCTGTGTATCTGCTAAAACATATGCAACTAAAATATGTATCCAAGTCACTGCACATCAACGATAAAAAATTAAAAAAAAACCAAAAAAACAAAAAAACACCCAAACCATATCAAACTCATTTAGATACTACGCACACACACAGATGTGTAAATGTTTGTGTATATGCTAGTTACAACCATGTGAAACTGAATTTTTATTTTTGATTGGTCCTACTCTATGCCACTGGATAGCATCCAGTATATGAATGGCTTCATTCTAGTGAAGGGACATGAACAGCCCACCAAAACACCCCAAAAAACTAACTCTTAGTTTAAAAGGAATTACCACAAGTAAAAAAGAATGTATGAGACAAAGAGGACACAGCATGAGGAAGGGAAGGGATCCTACCCCTCTCTTCTGCACTACACAACCCTTTCATGCACGGAGTTACTGAAAACTTAACCTGAATCCCTTCCCAGAAAGCTAAGAGCTTGATTCCAGGACTTTTTTTTATTTTAAGTAAATAAAAAATATTCATTGACTTCAATGAATTTGCATTATTAATATTTACCCAATTTCACTTACAGCACTGTTTCAAGGATTTACCAAATTATTAATCATTAATCATTAATCATTAATATGTTTCTATTAGCCCTATTAAAAGACAAAATGCTACAAAGAGGAGTCCTGTGACACACATAAAATAAAAGAGACATTAGCACAGAAAGGCAAAGTTCAAACACAAGTAAAAATGGTTAAACAGAACCCTCCCTCCACAACCTTCACAACTCAGCTCTGTTACACAACCACAGTGCTTTAGGGCTCACTGCAGCTCCAGAGAGGCAGCTCTAGGCAGAGCTGTTTCCCTGATCTCTGGGCCAGCTCCCTTCTCTCCAGCATGGACAGGAGCCCTGACCTGATGCCTGCAGTCTGACACAGGGCATCAGCCTCTGGACCTTCTCAGCGTGCCCTGGGGATGAGCAGGGAGATCCCTGCGCTCTCACTGAGGAGCAGCATTCCCACTACAACAGAACATTTAAGAGCAAAAACAGAAGGTAGAAGAAAGGGCAAGTTACAACATTTCTAAGTTGGGGCTAGATAAATGGCAAATACAGAGACAGATTCTAATATCTTTACTGAATATCACTGACACCCCACAAATATAATCAAGCTGTCAAATTTGGGCTTTTGGATTATAGTGGACCAGTTTTGTTTAGCTACTCAGCTGATTTTTGCAGGAAGCTTTGAAGGTATCAGCCTAGTCCAGTAATACGGGAAGACTGACAAAAGAACATGCTGCATTTTTTCCAAAGTTCCCATGGTGGTCCATTTTTAAAGCCAAGTTCCTTAGCTCCTGAGAGCAAAGTAAGGATATACACTACAGAACTGGCAGTGGTGTTGCTTACATTTTGAAGACTCATAGAATTCCCAAAAAGGTGCTCAAGAATTTAGGACCTCAACTTTGTGTTCGATTACTGCATCAAGGACTCCTGCTCAGCTTCAATGTTCTTCAACCCCACATGCAAATCTAATTTCAAATCTAACTGTATTGTTATTATTATTCTTGTTATTATTATTATTATCTTATTGGAAACACACAGTCTAAGGCTTGATGCATTTTGGTTCCACCTACAGTTCTGTCACAGATGCCTTGTATTTTCTCTACCAAATCACTTAATCTCTTAGTAAAGTAGGCATTACACTTCCAGAAAGACTATCAGAAATGTATTCTGAGGACAATACTATGAAATAAGAGATTAGGTTCATGTAATGAGAAATGAAACTTAAGTGACTGCCATGTTCATTGCAGTGAACAGAGTTTAAGTCACTCTGGGAACTGGCTGATGCAACTGCATCACCTGGGATAAAATATTTAAACTGGGTGTTTCAGCCAGTAGCTTCTTTCCCATCTCAGCTCTCTGAAAGGGAGCTGTGCAATGGCTACAAACTACAGGCAGTAAAAAGCACAGCTAGATACTAACACAGCAAGAGCCTGGAGACAAACTTTTGTTTCTCTCTCTGGTTAAACAGGACAGAGACAAACATGACAAAGCATAACAAAAGTACAGAACAGAAACTGAACTGTGAACTCTTTGTGCAACCATCTTCCAGTATCTACAAATAGAGAACACTTCACCACCGTGAGAAGACTACAAATAAAATACCCTTCTGGTAACTGCCAGCAAATTTGATTCAAACCATTCCAGACTGTTGGAAATGCTGTTGGCAAGTTGGCCACCAGAAATACAAATGTGCTCTCTGAACATACTAAAAGTTGAATGTGGCAGCTAAGAACAGTTGCAGAAAATATATTTATCCAGATACATGTACCAACATCATAATTTTAAGGACAGCATCCCTCAGAATGTTAAAAAGATGCATTCAGTCATGGTTCACCTTAAAAAGAGGAAACAGGCAAGTAGATATAAATATAAAACTCCAGAAATACTCTGTGGCACACCACTATAGACTGTGACACTTTCTGTTGTCCAGAACAGACTGCCCCAAAGTATTCTGAAGCTCAGAAATTAATCAGTGCACAAACACACACACACATATATATACACATATGGAAATAAAGCTTCCTAAAAGCTTCCTAAATTAGGGGCAGACAGAACCAGACTACTTGCACATACAACTTTGAGTGCTTTAGTATGCAAGTTGTGCACACAATTTATGGGGGTATTCAATTTATGGGGGCACAGCATTGCTAGCAGTGCACCCCAAACTGCTGAGTGCTGTCATAGTCAAGCTGATTTGGACATTTAGGGGGACTAAAAAGTGATTTATTATTCCCTCCAAAGAAAACATCCTGTCTCTATACCTATATAATGTCTCTCCTTCACTGAGAATCAAGATTGCATTTCACTATACTGTTTCAGAAGATGGTACAGTGTTTTGCAGAAAGCTGAGGCCAAGACATGCCACCTAAAGCTTACAAAAGTCCCAATGGTTAAATGAAAAATGTTTATGCTTCATTGCTTCAGAACACAAGATCCTTCTTGCCATGGTGCCTGCAAAGAAGGCTACTCTCTGGAAGGCCTAAATGGCTGTAAATCATCTGTGACCATAGACAAAAATCTTTATTCAAGTTGTATTATCGTGTAAATTTGACACAGTTGCAATCATATCTATGAATCCAGTTGTGTAGAAATATATTCACATAGTTTCTGCTATTAAGTGGTGTTCAGTTCTGTTCCTCTTCCCACCTCGTCCCCTAGAAGAGGTGGCAGAGGGAAGCCTCAAATTTAGGGTGCTGGCAGTGACTTTACAGACAAACTTAGTCTTAATGAAGACTCGGTGGAAAAATATGGAAATCGGTATTGCCAGAAACTGTTCTTTCTACACCTTCTCCCTAAACTTTAGCTGAAAGGGTGAATCAGATTTTCCTTTGAGGTTAAGGTTATCACAGCTATGGCAGCAACACTAATTTTTCACCTCCTACATAGCAAACCTATACTAGCAAAACTGAAAGCTTCATGTAAAGCAAGACTTGGCTGTTACCTGTGCACATTGGCCTTGCACATGAAAGGGAAATGCTGAAATGCTGCCTGTTTCAGTGAACAACATGAAAACTGGGAGTTCTTAAGTGAAACCATGCTCATTCCCCTCCCAGGGCATATATATTCAAATGGCTACACTCCAAACACATACTATTTATTAATTTTTTTGCAGTAGAGACATCTGGAAACATCAGAAAGAGCTTCACTAACACTTTCCAAATGTTGTAAAGGATTAAGAATAGAAAATTTCTACATGTTTCCTTTGGGATATGTGAGTCTTTACCAGTAAATAAGAAGGTTATATGTTTCCTTTCATTGTCCAAGAGTATGCATTTTTAATTCTTACTCTGATTGTTGGAAGTTAGTTGAAATGCTCAAGGACTCTCTGCCTCCCTTCTACTACAAAATCTCATATTTTTGTCTTGTGTTATAATAACATCCAGCACAACTGTATAAATATAATATGTGCAGTTGTGCACAGGATAGGTTTCCTTCAGAATGGATAAGTTGTAGGTGTTGAGATTAAAATTAGTCCTTCAAGATCCTTCTCCTAGAAATCAATGTTTACACACTGCTATGCATAAAGCAGGATTTTGCCCACATGCATGCGTATATTGCCAAAATAAAATCCCATTATCAAAGCTACTTAATATTCAAAACACCATTTGGAGATATTGACATTACAAATTAATTAAACTGAAGAGCTGAGAAAACAAACAAAAAGCTAGAAAGACAATCATAACCAAGAGAAAACCTATTCATCAAGAAAAAGCACCAGGTGCTGCAAACTGGTATATCGTAAGGAATTCTCAGAACTGCCAAGTTTATGGCCTCTCACTACTGTTTGTTGAATGCACAACACATAGGATACAGGTTTCTCACAGTTCATACCTTTTTTCCCATTCATACTCATGTATGAACATACAAGGAGCTCCAGAAAAGTCTGAAGATCTGCTGTGCTTTAATACTGGGCAGCAAGCCTGATATATTTGAGAGCCCTTTCCATGGTTTAGTTTTCTTTATAAGACCACTTACAAACACTCAGCACATAGATGATTACTTTTAGATGACTCAGTGCAACATCCCTTATCTTATCTCGACACAACCATAACCAACGACAGACTTATCAAGGGGCAAAACATGTGTGGGAATTCTGCCAGCAGCTGCACAGCCACCAGCCACCCAAATGTATTACCTTGCTACATCTGCAAGTAAGAAAATCTCTTTAGACACAAGCATATTATAGTACTTGTTTTCTGTGTTTGGAGAGTAATGGATCTGTAATCTCATGGCAGTGAGCATAAGTAATATTTGTATAGAGGATCAGTCAGCACAGGTTGTTTGTTCAAAGGATGTTAAGAAAAAATGGAAACATGAGAGCAATACCGAAGTTTATCTAAGTTTAATTTTCAGTATTCAGAGAAAGAGGGAAAATATCAAATTATCAGTCATCAAAAGAAAGAAAAAGCCATTTTAAAAAATGTGCCTGGCCCTACTGCAGGGCCAGGCATGCTACAGCAATCCTAAATTTTCACAGAAGCAGCCAGCCATTCTCTAAAGCAAAGTGCCAGCTCACAGCTGCATGATATAGCAGCACCATTCCTGCATGAATGCTTGTGTTTGCCCTTCCAGTCTGAGGAGACACTTGGAAGAGATCAGGAATAGTCTAGACAAATAACAAGACATCATGCAAGAAATATAATCAAAAACAGGGACCAGATAGGCAAGATTTTTTCCCATAGCATTGGGAAAATGTGCATAAGCAATCCAGAAGATGGAAACCCACTGTGCAAATTTTCATAAGCTAGTTCCAGCTGTTAGGATAGATACAGAAAACTGGCACATGATGAAATCACTTTCCAAAATACACTGGCTGTTGAAGACTCATGTTTAGAACATTTCATCTTTATTATGCAGAGTCAGCTAAACAAACTATTAAGTCTAAATCAATTTTTTAATCTGTGTTTCACTGTTTGGATGTACAGGAACAGAGCAGTCTAAAGGACAATGGGGGATAATAATCTTTAAATAGCATCCTTTTGAAATTTAAAAATTAAAATACATTTACTTTTGCAGAAAGACAAGTGATAATAGTCATCAGCTGGGTTTAGAGTTCAGCATTTTAATTCTTTCTAAAATCAGCATAATTTACTTTCTGTTAGGATTAACTAGATCTGTAGATAATCTTTTTAGATAAATCTGTGATTGAAGTTCCTCATGCATTTACCCTGAAGTGTTAAATCCAGTCAGAAGAAAAAGATGAACTACCCTCCCAGGTACAGAAGAGAGAATTTAGTAGTCACATTGGTTTATCTGTTGCCCCAAAACATATTTAGTTACAAATTAGAAATTACAAATTAAAATAATTATTCTCTATAATGAAAGTTAATTACATTAGCAAATATTAAATTATTTTAGACACTCTTTTTCACTCTTTATGTTTCTTTATAATGACTACACTATAATGAAATTCTGTGACGTGTTAAAGTCAAAGATACTACAATGAAATAGTAGCTGTATTTGAGTGTGATAGAAAACAGACGGACCCTAAGACTCATTCTATATCCTAGGTCTTTTTACTTTATTCTTTCCTTCTTCATTACTTTTTTATTAACAATCATTCATTCTACAGCTGTCAGTTCCCACAGCACTTGCCTTATTTAGTGTCATACTTTTCTATTCAGAGAAGGAAGTGTTCACTATTCAGTATGTTAAATATAACAAGGTATATTTCAAATCAAGCAAAGTTTGTGAGTAGCAAAGAAGCAACAATTTCAATATGCAAACTAACAAAATAGCCATTGGGAAAGGATATTTCCTGGGTTACTGCTGTTTTTGTTTTCTTCCTGTACTACAGTTTTCTGGCAAACCTCAACTATATTCTCAGTATCTTTCTAGATAAAAATGTCTTTTCTAAGGATCAACAGCATTTTGCTGCAGAAATAACAGTTACACAGAGTGGGGGTTTACGATTTCCTAATATTTCTAAGCCTAATAACCCTGTCATCACTGCAGGACTGCCACAAGATGAAAATACCAAAAATTAGGCATGGAGTTAAACTGTCATTCATACTTCTGTAATGGGAGGAACAGGTAATTTCAAGATGATCCTTGAAGCAAACAAAATATTATGTTGGGGTTTATGCATGGCATACATGCATACATGGCCTGCTGAATACCCAGACATGCACACATTAGAAACACATAAAAGTCAGCAAAAGGTTGGGAAAGTCTGTCAAAGCAGCTTAGCTCTCTTGACTGAGACCAAAGCAACTAAAGCCCTTCTTCTTTACTAATGGTGACAGACATAGGTGAGGTAACACAGTGCTCAAGTTAGCAAGCATATGATAAATACAAGACACTAAGCACCCTTCTGTACTGCCATCACAGATGCCATGGGTGGTGGTGGTGGTGGGGCAACCACTTAAAAATTAATTGGAAAAAGAAATCACAAGTGAGAAAATGTTTCTATCAAGAATCTGTTCAGTGAATCCAGAACACATCTCTATAAAGAGAATGAAAGCAACTCACAAAAAGACAAAAGCTTCATACAGATTTGGTTTATTTTATTGCCTGCGAAATCTGGTTGTGTTTAAAAGTCTTTCTCAGTACAAAAAGAATTTCAAACCTGAGGCTTCAAATGATACTGTTTCTAATAAAATGATAGCATCATATCTGTATGGCAGATTTATTCTCCTCCTACCCAACCAACACGCTGGCAATGCACAGTACCTTTCTCTTGTCCACAGGTTTCTGAGGCAGTTGTGTTCAATTTTAATTTAAAGAGGTGAAGACTGAGCAGCAGCAGTTGCTAAGTCACAAGCTGTGTTTGTTCTGGGACTTTCCACAGCTCCTAGTCCTGTTGGAACATTCTCCTTTTCATCAGCAAGGAGGGCTTCCAGAGCAGTATTAGTGACATCATCTGTTAAACAAAAGAAAAGAGATTTAATACAAATCAGATTTCATTAAAAACTTTGATGATAGCAATGGAATGGAAATTTATTTCCATGGGGTAACAAAATGCAGCAGAATAAGGTATCATATAAAAGTGCAAGTGTGGCATCTTCTCTCCATTAAGAACACAAAAGGGTGGCCTTTCCTAGATGGTCCTCAGTGAAAGCAGGATGGAAGCTGCTAAGCTCCTTGGCAACTAGACGAGGTCAATCCAGAATGTTAACTCTGTCCAGCTAACACTAAATTTGTATTCCATTTCAACACAAGTTATTGGGTTTTGGGATACCTAAACAGTCATGGTGGCCACCTATAAATTGTCACGTGCAGATTGTCCACTGCCATAAATCTTTGTAAATACCAAAAGTATACAAACATAAAGAAGTTATCATGTGTCATATTGAAAGAAGGACAAGACTAAATTTTAGAAAACCTTAATTCTGTTCTTGAAGGCAATTATCACAATTTCCTTTTTGAAAACAAACAATTAAAAGACAATGGACAGGGCCTTGATATTTTCTTACTTCATATTTCTTTATAATACTTCATTGTATTTTGATCACAAGGGGAAACAACAGAAGCATTTTAGTTTTTGCTGATGTTCACTGCATGTTAATTTGAATTGGTATTTCCCATGCACAGAAAAAATTACAGAAATAAAATTATTATTATGGTGATATCTTCAAGGAAAATATCACTCTGAAAGCTTAATGACTGAAAGCAATTCAAGTTCATAAATGAGAATCATTTACCTCAGTTTTCCAAGAGTCTCTAAACACCTTTCTCTACACCTTTCACTGCAGAGTGAAAAAAAGAAAGTAAAAAAGTACTAAATCTTCTAACTAAAAGTACTAAAAAGTACATATACCCCTTGTATTAGAGCTTGAGGACAAGTGACTTGAACAAGCCCAACAGATTTCAGCAATGTCTTAATCAGACATGGCCATATGGAGGTCTCCAAAGCAGAGAGCTGGCAGACACAACACCGAACAGGTCAAATTCTTTGCCTTTTGGGCAAGAGAGCTGGAAGCCAGGCAGCAGACATGGCCATATGGAGGTGTCCAAAGCAGAGAGCTGGCAGACAACACAGAACAGGTCAAATTCTTTGCCTTTTGGGCAAGAGAGCTGGAAGCCAGGCAGAATTCCACATATGAACTGTGCTGAAACATGATAGATATAACTGCTCTCATGTACAATGTTCAAATCTTTACCAAATAATGTATTTCACATAAAATACATCAGGATTGCATCCAACGGTAATTTCCCAAAACCGTAATTTCCAAACCACTTCCCTTGCTTGGAAATCCTGCATTTCTCTCTAGGGGTTTGTTTAAGGCAATACCATGTATTCTGTTGTTAGAGTTTTAAAACCTTAATCCTTTATTTGTTCCATAATGACAGGCATCTAGGTAGTATTTAATGGAGAAAGGAAATCTGCATACTGATTTCCTTAGGGCCAAAGGATAGATATAACTGCTATCATGTACAATGTTCAACTCTTCACAAAAAATGTATTTCACATAAAATACATCAGGATTGCATCCAACGGTTCAGTCCCAAAACCATAATTTCCAAACCACTTTCCTTGCTTGGAAATCCTGCATTTCTCTCTAGGGGTTTGTTTAAGGCAATACCATGTATTCTGTTGTTAGAGTTTTAAAACCTTAATCCTTTATTTGTTCCATAATGACAGGCATCTAGGTAGTATTTAATGGAGAAAGGAAATCTGCATACTGATTTCCTTAGGGCCAAATTCACTGCTGTGACAGAACACTTTTGAAAAGGATGAAAGTACAGCTAGGGCCAGATCATGGCAGAAGATCAAAGTGCTGAAACAGCTTAGTTGGCATATTTAAGTAGCACAAAACACTGGGAAAAGAGGAATTCAATTTATTTATATAGTAACAAACCTCCTCAGGCAAAGCACCTCTACTTTTTAGGTGTCAGATATGTTTCACTTCACCCCATCTTCATCAGTCTTTTTGAGCTGCCCTATTCCTAAACATTCCAAAATTGTTATTCTACATAAAACATTTTGTTGCTTTCTTCTGGCCTTCTGTTAGCAATCT